CAAAGGGCTTTAAACGACACCAGACGACGAATAAGGGTCTTATCTAGAACCCTTCGAGTCATGACTCGAAAAAAAGTTTTATTCATTTTGATGAACGAGTTCGAACAGGAGAGTCACAAACGCTCATCACAGAACATAGCAAGGCGAACATTTGTGCTTATAAAACTTAAACTTTTTTATTTATTTTTGAAATGACCAATCGTTTCGCTAGATTAAGAACCTTATTCATCATCTGGTGTCGTTTAAAGCCCTTGGGTTTGCACTGAAACTCTCATTTGGACCTTGAACCGTTTGGTACCCATTGAAGTCCATTATATGGAGAAAATCCTGGAATGTTTTCATCAAAAACATTCTTTTTAAAAGTGAACTACTCCTTTAAGCGGTTGGAACAACATGAGGGTGAGTAAATACTGACAGAATTTTTGGGTGAACTATCCCTTTAATATTGTGGAATCAGAACCAGAGTAGTTCCATTTGACTTCATATGATTCCCATTGCTTAGTCAGTATAATAAATGTGACTCTTTGTATACATATAAATATTGTTGAGAATATATGTGATGCTCGCGTGAAGGAATATTTTCATAGGATTACAGAGAGTTTAGAGTTGTGTACTTTCAGACTCTGCAGTTGGATGAGTTCATTTGAGTTGGAAATCTGCGTATGTAAACAATCATTAATCAGTCATTCGTTTTCTCTTTCTCTCATACATGCATTACACACACACACACACCTCCCACAGCTGTTGCTCCTTAATGTATGTCTGTGACCTAAACTTTGCCCTCACAAGAACTTATAATAATCAATGTTGTGAAATGTATATGCCGCTCTGGGTTGCATAGCAACAGGGTGAGAGGAAAATTAGGCTGCGTGTGAGTGATCTGAGGTCCGTGTGAAAGGTTGAAATGTCACACAATCGATCCCTTTTTTTCTTCCATGTAGAGATGCCCTTGTCTGAACAGGTCATCCCACAGCTATAAGCACTTTATGATTTATAATTGGAATCTTATTTTCCTGTCAGTACGCTTGTTGCCTTTGTCGGTGTTATCGGTGTTACACAGTGTTTGACCATACACGGATTACATCACTTGCTCCCCTCGGCACTGCCCCAATTGTCTTTTTGATTTTTTGATATTATTTTTTTAGTTTAGTTGGACAATAAACACTACAATTATAAACTGAAATACAGCACGAGTTGCAGCACAGTGCATCAGTAATTATAATGTGTTACAATTATATAGCGCTTTTCTAATCACTTGAAAGTGCTTTACATAGAAGGGGGGAATCACCTGGATGATGCGACGGAAAGCCATTGTGCGCCAGAACGCCCATCACATACCGGTTTACTGGTGGAGAGGAGACTGAATGAGAGTGATGAAGCCAATCAGTGTATATGGAGATGATTAGGAGGTCATGATGATGGACAGGGGCCACAGGGAAAGTTTTGGCCAGGAATACCAGGTCACACCCCTACTCTTTTAAAGGACATCCTGGGATTTTTAATGACCACAGAGAGTCAGGACCTCAGTTTAACGTCTCATCTTAAGGATGGTGCTTTTTGACAGTATAGTGTCCCCATCATTATACTGGGATGCTAGGACCCACATAGACCACCTCCTGCTGACCTCACTAACACCTCTACTAGCAGTTAATTTTCCCAGGAGGTTTCCCTTCCAATTACGGTCCAGGCTCAGCCCTGCTTAGCTTTAACTCAATCCCCGCCAAACACGGAATTTTCCGTGTTTAATGAAAAAACGCATCCCTGCCAAACACGGAATTTTCCGGGTATCCGTGTTTTCGGTGGTATACGGTAAGGAAGACCCGCGCGCATGTCCTGAATGAGTGCGCAACTCTTTGATCAGAGAAACAGATTGCAATCGTCTCAAACAGTGGAGTAGTGAGAATGTATCAGACAGACAATGCAGAGGTATATGGCTGAAGTACTGGAGGTTAATGGACTCGGAGTCCGATCACTCTTTATTTGATAATTCTGAATCTGATCGGGACGAAGTAGTCAGTGAGAAAGATGCACATGTTGTCAGAAAGTTGTAGCCATGGACGTGCCGCAGATAGATCGTATAATATTATGACACTATAATATGTATGTGTGTGTGCAGGCATTTATGTGTGGCTGTCTAAATATGAAGGTGTAATTGTCAAATTATTTCTCTCGTTGTGCACATTTACCACATTGTAATATGTATTTGTGTGTGTGTGTGTCTAGGCCTTTTTATTGTAATTCCAATTATTCATTATTCACAGGTAGAACACAGAGAGGCAGAGGCAGAAGTTTTATTGCAAAAGTTACATTTCCCTTACATCCTGGGAAATTTGATATATTTTACATTTATTTATGTTTTTAATTTATTTTGGAAAGGAAACAACATCTGAATGTATTCTGCTTTTAAATGCACTTGTTTGATAAAAATACCTTTTTCTCAGTTTTTTGTCCAAAATGTTGTGTTTTTGACAAAACCTACCTCTGTTCAAGAGGCAATAAAAAAAAGAACAAATGAAGATAAAATAAAAACGTTTTTTTTGCCTAAAAGCAGAGGCTCAGATCTTTATTTTTATATATATCATCTTCATATATTCATGGAAGAAAATATTCAGCGGGGCATTAAAATGTAGCGAAAATCGTCAAAAACCCTGGCGGTGGCTGACAACTTTTTTTTAAAACGCTGGCGGGGAAAGAGTTAATGGGAAACCAGTCTTGGGCAACAGGGTGATATGGCTGCTGATAAAAGTGATTTTAATACCTGGCATGTTGATATTAGCTCTCTGATGCCTGCACAGAGTACACGTGATCGTACATTCGAACGTGAAAAGCGAGTGCTTTCAAAAGCAATTTCTATACCCTGTTTACTGTACTTGCTGTGTGTCGCAAGTATATTTACTGGTGTGAAAATTTCCTCACTGTGACATGCTTAGTTGTCGGTTTATTAAGATAATCAGCTTAAGTTTTATCTCTTAGGCATTTCTCACAACCTCATAATCAAAGTCTTCATTCAACAGCTTAAACATAAATGGCTGCATTCTTAATTCCCTTTTTCACAAGATGTAAAATAAGTCTTTGATGTCCCCAGAGTGTGTATGTCAAGCTTTTGCTCAAAATCCCAAACAGATATTTTAATATAGCATGTTAAAATTGTCGCTTTTTGAGGGTGAGCAGAAATGCACCGTTTTTGTGTCTGTCCCTTTAAATGCAAATGATCTGCTGCTCCTGGCACAGAGGGCGGAGCTACAACAGCTTGTGTCCTTAGCAGCTTCGATTACCTCACACAGACAAGCACTGAACATTTCGAAAACTTTTAGCCTTTTATGTTCAAACTGGAGTCAGACAAAGATGGAGAGACTCAAGATGAAGTGACAACATTTGTGAATGGTTATTTGATGAATTTATATAGCTTATGTGTAGTTATCTTCTAGTTATTGATTAGCATATTCTGTCGTAATAATCTATAAATCACGTTCCCAGTTGTGGGGTTCCCGGGAGGACACTTGTGTAGTCCCTACCAGCCGTTTGTTGTCTAGTCTTTAAAAAGCAATTTCTATAAAATAAAATATCTCCCTTTGCTTTCTAATTGTGGTAGAAAGGCGTTTACCACACGTGGCAAGCTGTTTCGAACTCCAAACGAAGTTCATTTTGGCAAAATTTTGTTCTTCAATTTCACTTGAGGTATATCTGGGTCTTAAATTGTAAAATGGAGTTATATTTATAAATTAGATTATGTACTTATCAATTTTATTGCGAATGAGTTGGCCTGGAAAGAGACTCCACCCACGCACTCTTCTGATTGGCTGTTACTTTTTGTAGTCATGTCTGAAATTCTCTTCTTGATGTCCTTGTATATGTAACTATGGCCTCATTCTAGGTTGTTGTGGATGGTGGCTGTAGTGTTTCTAACTGGTTGTTTACTGGCATGATAGGCAGATAACTTGATATGGTTTTAGTGCCTCTTTTATGGTTCTCAAACATGTTGCTTTATGTTGGCTTTTAGAAGATGGCCAGTGGGGTCGACCAACCAGTGATCAGCCAGACAATGTCTGATACAAGTATCTGCTGAGATTATTTCTGTGTTAATTTTCCCTTAGTGCTCTACAATTACCAGCACACATGTATTCATACAAGGCCTGATGATGAAAGTGGTTCAGTTTTCGGGAGTTCTTTATGCAGGTAATGAAAATGACACACAGGCAAACTCAACATTGTCGAATCAAAGACTATGTAAATGAACAGTTCTGGGGATACAGACAAGCCACTGTCTTTTGTGTGCAATGTTCCACTTCCTCTTTCATCCAACCATGACCAGCGATCTCGCAAACACTCCCCCCACACACAAAAAAAGACAAAAAACAGTCTGGTTCTCCTTCGCCGCCTGCTGAATTCATAATAAAGGTGTACATATTGCTGAAATTGCACCGTGTGCATGTATATAAAACGTCTCCATAAAATTAATTTAGCAAAGACGTCCTGCTCATTCTTGGAGGGACAATGTGGAAACTAATTTCCTCGAGGTTGTCTTTATGTCAGTTTTTTCGATACCCTCATGTCATCGTGCCGCTTCGAAAAATTAAAGCGGTGACTGGCAGTTTTGACGGCTTTCATTGTTCCCACCTCATGCACTTTGCCATTTTGTGTGTTTCGAGCACATGAATTGAAGGCAGTTATTATATTTGTGAACAGTCCATTATGCCCAGGCGAGCATTCGGGTCCGTGCACAGGGGCCCGTTCTGTTCGTCACAGAGACCCTGCTTTGATTGATGTGGCCGGGGTTTGTCACAGCTGGGAGGGAGATGATAGACTTGGGTGGTATAGAGAAAGCGATGCACCACACAGAGCTATGCAATTAAGCATGTTTTCTTTCGGTTAATTAAAAGCAAATTAGTCACTGCTATAAGAGGAGCTGTCGGCTTCCAATTGCCACCCAGCATTGCCAAGCATAAACCTATTGTTGAAACGGTCTGTCTTTACTTATTCTCTCATGTTCTGTGTCGCAGGGCCGGCGGGGAAAATCAGGAGAACCGGGCACTCCAGGACCACCGGTAAGACTTAGTTTATAGTTTGTGAAAAAAGAGTGTGGACAAGAAAGTGGCCAAATATTTAACAATGCGTGAGACTGACAACTACTGTTACAGTTCAGGAACTGATTTGTACGGTGGCTGAGAGAGCTCAATGTGCTGCTCCAAATACAGAAACACAGGCCACAACGGAAATGTTTCCATGGCAGCTCGTTTCTGTATTTGGTTGTGTTGTGAGTATTTGGAGCACATGTGTGTTGTGAAACTGATGATGATATTTTTTTTTTTTGTACAGGTGTTTTTTTTTTTTTCTATTTGCTTGTGTTTTTTTTTTTTTTCTATTTGCATGCAGTTTTTTTTTTCTATTTGCATGCGTTTTCTTCAGTTGCAGCACGTCAAGCTCTCTCAGCCTTCGTAGATTTGACTATTTTTAATCATTTACTGAGGAAGCACATTGTAAAAAAAAAATGCTGGTATTACCTGTTGATGCAGTAGATGACATATTTGTTATATATCAGCATTAACATTATGAGCCACTCTCAGGCCCACACAGAATCTGTTCCTGTAAAACTCTGCAGAAATCTCCATAAATTTCTAGGCCTGTCATTCACAAAGTTTTTAACCCTGCGTGTTTGTCTCTTATATATTTTGGTGAGACATTTCAGCTTCTGTTAGAGCTCCATTTTACAGTTTTTAAACCCTAAAAAATATCATACATTGTGATTTCTGGACTTTTTTTATGGGTGTTCAAATACGTATTTTCCTCACTGTATATATATGAAGAGTTCAGATGCAAAAGCCTCTAAATGCCATTTGAAATTTTCTTCTTTAATGATGATTTTTATCAAACTTGTATATTTAAGTTCAGTAATTTCACTTAAATAACAATTAATAGGTAATTATCATTGCCATTTAAGTGAAATCACTGAACTTAAATATACAAGTTTGATAAAAACCATCATTAAAGAACAAAATTTAAAATGGCATTTAGAGGCTTTTGCATCTGAACTCTTCATATATATATATATATATTAACTAATTAATTGAGTTTTTTTTCCCTGTGATTAATCACACCTAACATTAAAGTTTTTAATAGATTTGTATGTTGTAATTTCACAGTTAATCTTTAAATTAATGTAGAATAATAATGTAATGTTATCAAACAATTCACAGTCTTCACTGCTTTTTTAAAGGAGCCGTATGCAAGATTGTGGCCAAAACTGGTACTGCAATCACTTTCATATTACTGTAGAGTGGTGTATCCTAATGTTGACATGACAACATCAACATCAACATCAGTTGAGGGCTGCAACTTCACTTTTAAAATGACATTATCGTGGCCGGACCACTGTTGTCAGTGATATAACTATTTGAAATGAACATGATTTCTTAATTTCTAGTGACATATCAGGGATAATTCATGATTAATTGAAACAAATTTCTTGCATACAGCTCCTTATTAAAGTTGGAAAAGTTATTCAGTCAAGAGCAATTAAGTTTTTTGACATGGCGTTGACACACATCCCACAGCCTTTCAACATTTTACAGTCATTCAAGACATTATTTAAGTCATGTGTCCTTAAAGAAAGAATCGATTCTTAACGGCTGAAATGAGTTTCTCATTTGCACCTTTTAGTTTACAGTATATCACTTCTGTTCCTAATTTCCTTCCCCTGCAATTCAATCATTTGCAGAATCAGAAAGCATAATTATTGTCATTAATCTGCTTTAAAAAGCAAACACAATTTGACATGTTGTGCTAAATGGTCAGATACCTGCTGCTATATTTATTCCCCTCCAGATGAGCAGAGCTTTCTTGGTTTTTGCATTGGTTTGAGTGAAATCTCCATGACATATGCGGTGTGGCTCGACGTTTCAAATTACGATTTCAAGCAGCCCAGAGGGCCATATTAAGAGCAGTCCCATGCATAAGTGTTATTGAAGATCCTGAGGAGACTCTCAAAGGGGCCCTAGTTTACTGCTTGATAAATAGTCATCTCATCAAAGCCGTGGCATCAGTTTGAAAATGTGTGTGAAGTAAAAATCGCATGCACACACTTCAGCCTTTGAAACGTATGTTGCATCAGAATTGCTGGAATATTTACATTGCCTTAGGCTTTGTGTTTGTACCAACATCTATGGAACTGGATAAACATTGCCGCTTTACTGAATCTCTTTTGAGTGGGAAAAGAGTGATTAATTCATCGCCATATTGAATGAATACTTAAAGGAACAGTTCATTACATTTTTTTTTTTTTTTTTATTATTCTGACACTTTTTTTACTGTCATTTTGTTAACCTGTGCTGGTCACTCTTTTCTATGCAGTTACTATAAATGAAAACTGGATCTCAAACTAAAATTTAAATAAAAGATCACATTTTACTTTCGAACTATATTGTAAGTGGTCTAAAGTCATAAGATAGCTACGTTTGATAAACAAGCTGAAATTTAAGTAATTATTTACTGATGAACTTCACCAACTGCTGCAAAAAGTGTGAATTGAAAAACAAATTCAAACTGGTTTTGTGGATTGAAACATTGAAAAGATTCAGTGCCAGATGTCATGAATTTTAGTGAATTAGGGTCTATTTCTTATGCAAATATATAATATGGCTTCAGAAGACATGAAATAGCAGTCGAATGGATTTCGATGATATTTTTGCAACCTTTTCAATCTTGAATACCCCATTCATTGTAATTGCTTGTTCGATTAATTGTAAATGTAAATGATGACTGCATTTTGGCATTTTTTTGTTGAACTGTTCAGTTAAAGATTTATTAAACTGCAAAGTTGCCTGCAAACTGCAGATTTGTTCTGAATACTAACAGTGACTGACCCTTTAGTTTCACACAATACTGTAAATCTGTCACTCTTCACCACTGTAAAGTTATAAAGTGGTGGAGAGTCGAGGGGTGGTTTTATGGAGTGACATTTTTAAATGGCAGTGTCTCAAAAATTTCCATGGCATCTGCCAACCTTGCTTCTGTCCCCGGGAGCTGGCATTTATGAGTGGCCTGTTGTCGGTGGCAGAGACGAGGGCCCCGGGCGGCACAGACATCCTCCCTCAGCCTCGAGGTGTCGAGGAATGCCATGTGCGGTCCAGGAGCCCTTATCTGTCTGGATATTTAGTTGAGCTGATGTGTCTAGTGACCTTTGTCAAGGACATTTTCAGGTGTTGTTGCTGCAGTCGTGGGCGACAGAGGCTAATACGCAGCGAATGTTGTCCTGGTTGGTGTGTCAGGCTGTTAAAGCTGAATTTTCCTTTTGTTTTGCGTTGTACAATAGCAGTTTTGAGATTTTGTCTGAAATTATCTTTCTTACCCTAAGTATTTACATATGAACTACCTAATGGAAGTGTAAGTTTGAATTACTAACATTGAGATTTATGTCTTCAACACAGGGTCCACCTGGTACATGTGATGCTGCAGCTGTTAAGGTAAGATTTACCTCTGTATTCTAGGGTTTAAATGTAAGGGTAACACTTTACAATAAGGTTCGTTAGTTAACATTAGTTAACTACATTAGTTAATATGAACTAACAATGAATAGCACATATACAGCATTTGTTAATCTTTGTTAATGTTATTTTCAACATTTACTAATACTTGATTAAAATCTTGTTAACATTAGTTAATGGACCGTGAACTAACATGAACAAACAATGAACAGTTGTATTTTCATGAACTAACATTAACAAAGATGAACAAATGCAGTAAAAAATGTATTGCTCATGGTTAGTGCATGTTAGTAAATACATTAACTAATGTTAACTAATGAACCTTATTGTAAAGTGTTACCAATGTAAGTTTTTTTAACTTAAGTAATCCAATCATAATTGTTGTACATTCAAAACATGTCTCTGTTTGTTTAAACCACTCGACCAGCCTGACATATAGAGGGAATGCATTGACGTCACTTTCCCACCGGAACAACCCCCCTCAGCCTGACTGAGTGGCAAAAGATCTGCTGCGTGACTGGATTTAATAGGGGAAACTGCAAAAATGCGACTAAAACGAACAATATTGGGTTTTTTTTTCAGTGTTTATTAAAAAACATCCAATAATAAAGAATATGCACTGATAAATATTGAATTGATCAATTGTTTAAATATATATGTAACAATAAAAAATATATGGGCATGGTTTTACACCTAAATTCAGCATATTGACACAAAATGATAACTACAAATCCACCTTTCGCTGACTGGAGTCCAGTTATTTCTGTGAATTGCAGTGATCCATTTGCTCCTCTTTCTAAAGCAGTCTGTAAAAATATACCTCCGATTTTTTTGTCAAATCTAGTTGTACAATCAATCGCAAAGCTCTTTCCCACTTTATATGTGTTCTGTTTGTTTTTTGCGGCATTCACACTGAAAACAAATACAGCCGCTCAGTCTTTTTGCCACTCACTGTGAGTAATTGCAGGCACTCCGGCCGATGGTGACGTCACACGCATACCCTCTATAGAAACATTGGCTCAACCAATGGCATGAGTTTGCGGTGGAGCTAATTGTTTGTTTGTTTTTTTATCAATGATAGACAGGGAATGTGTTTGACTGTTATGTTTGGTGACTCTAGTGGCAGTTTTAAGCTGAAAAATACATATTTTATTTTTGTGTAAGTTGTTGAATCGTGTTTATCATCAACAACCTGGTCATTGTGTGTGGCCTTCATGTACATGTTGAAAGCCTAAGGGTGCTTTTCATTTAAAATTTGTGCATCCTTGTTCCCTTTGCTCGCTTCCTTTCTTTGTGTCTCAGCTCCATCCACGTAGGATGTGGAATGAAAATGAAGGAATTGAAGGAAATCTTATTTGTATATTGGAACATCCTTGATCACTCAAACGTCATCATCTGCGCTTAAGGGATCTGCTCTTATGTTGTTGAACTTTGGATATTTAAGAAATACCTAATCTAATCAAAATCCATAGAAACTAACGTCTCGGGTTATGACTATAACCCTTGTTCCCTGAGAAGGGAACGAGACACTCTTTGGGGATGCTCCCGAAGCGTGCGCCTCTGAAGGATGAATGAAACTATTCCAATCCTGATTGGTGTTGCTTCATGACGTAAAATGTGACCGCATACCCGGAAGTATAAAGGTGATGCTGACACAACACATACCAGCCTCGCGATGAAACAAGACGCTTTAAGGCCTCAAGGGGCGTGGCAGAACGACGCAGTGTCTCGTTCCCTTCTCATAACCCGAGACATTCCCTTTTGAGGAAACTCTACACTGTGTCGAGAATTCAACTCTTTGGGGAACGAGTGCCCACTAAGCCACCCACCGAGTAGGCCTGTCCCGGAGTGAAACTATTTAGGCATTCAGCAAGGATTAAGCATGTGTGCTCCAGACGTACTAGAAAGGTGAAGACTGTAGAACCTAATAAAAGTGTGTGGGGTAGCCCAGCCGGCTGCCTCACAGACCTCCTGTAGGGGTACTCCTGAATGGAGGGCCCTAGAGGAAGCCATGCCTCTTGTTGAATGAACCCTAATGGCTAAAGGTGAAGGCATGTCGCGCACCTTGTAAGCTGTGGTAATAGCCTGAACAATCCAATTACTAATAGTTTGCTTGGATGCCGGGAGCCCCTTCTTAGGTGACCCAAAACACACTAATAATTGGTCCAACCTTCTCCAAGAAGAGGACCTTTCAAGGTACACGCTCAAAGTTCTGACGGGACAGAGCAAATTAAGCTTCTCTTCTTCTGTTGACACATGAGGTGGAGGATGGAATGCCTGAAGGACTGTAGATCGAGCCGTATTAGATGGAACTTTAGGCACGTAGCCCGGAGTCGGGTGCAAAAAGGCCTTCACTCTGCCAGGGGCAAACTCCAAGCAAGCTGGTGTCACTGCCAGGGCTTGGAGATTTCCCACCCTCTTGAGTGAGGTAATAGCCAAGAGTTCGAATGGGGCCAGGGATAACCCTTCAAGAACTATTGCCAGGTCCCAGGCAGGAACCCTGGACCTGGTTGCCGGTCTCATCTTCCAAGTACCGAATGACCAACTGGTGCCTCCCCAGAGGCTCATCACTTAAAGGTGCATGAAAAGCCACAATGGCAGCCACGTACACCTTAAGCGTGGAAGGGGAGAGACCCGCAGGGAAACAATCTTGAAGAAATTCCAGAACTGAAGCCACCGGGCAGTTAACTGGATCTAACTCTCATTCTCTACACCAAGTGACAAACACATTCCACTTGAGGCCATATAAACATACATCGTTTCCTAGAGGGCTCCGCTGCGAGAACAACCTCGGTTGTCCTGCAGCGGAGGGGACAGCCCTCGGAGGTCCTATCACTTCGGCTAGGACCTCTTCCCTGAAGCCCTCCTAGCCTGAATGACGTCCCTCAGGTCGCCTCTCTGGCTGAAGGACTTCAGCTGAGAGCGTTTCCTCTGTTGCTAAGCTCCAGGAGTAGGGGCTCTAGAGGAAACGCTCTCTCTCTACTCTACCCGATGCGAGGAGCTGGCTGACAGCTGGGTCTGATCTCTTTGCCCTACCCTACTCGATTTAGATTTGGCCTTACGGGGGAGGTACTGCTGGAACGCCACAGATTGTTTCTTCGCCTCCTGGAACCTGTCGACGACTGATGTAATGGCGTCACCGAACAGGCCAGAAGGCGAGAGTGGGGCATCCAGCAGAAATGACCTGTCTTTTTCCTTCATTCCAGACAGGTTTAGCCACAGATGTCTCTCCGTAGCCACCATAGCTGCCATAGAGCAGCCAATGCGCAGGCCGTCTCTTTTGTGGCCCGGAGAGAAAAATCTGTGGCTTTCCTTAACTCCGCCACATCTTCAGGTGTCGGGCCCTCCCCCTCATCTAAATCTTTCAGGAGACCTGCCGCCATGCCAATAAGTGCAGATGTATCTCTGCAGGGCTTACTAGGCAGCGCCGGGGTCTTTAGGGAAGATGCCGCCTCAGGGGAGAGGTATCCCGCTAAAGCTTCCTCTACCTTCGGCATCTTCCCATAGCCCATGTCCCGTGCCCCCACAACATGACTATAATCCACCACACTGGGATTGGAGACACGGGACGAATGCGTTTTATCCCACGATCTCGATATTTCTTTGTGGAGATCGGGGAAAAACGGCAAACCCCGGCACTGAGGCTGTGACCTGTGCTGCAGGAAACATTCATCAAGCTTGCTTCTTGCTTGCATTCCCTGCTCATCTTGTGGCCAGCTGATGTTAAGTCTGGCCACAGCACGACTCACAACCTCCACCAGCTCCTCATATGCTTGGCCGTGAACTGGCACTCCTAACTCATGGTCATCCGCATCGATACTGAGCACATCCACTTCCTCGGAAGCAGAGAGCTCGAGTATCAGGACCTGATCGTGGGCAGAAGAAGCCGCGGCGCGGGCTTCTGCACCACTCTCAGGGGCTACGGGATCATCAGACGATGAATGAGAAAGTGCATCAGCAGTCTCATTCTCATCTGCAAGATCCCGCTGCGAACCCCACGATCTCAATCGCCGCGCCGCCTCAACGGACGGGCTGGCAGGCGGGGAGCACAACACTCTCATGGGTAGTGCTTCACAGTCAGCACAAGCAGCTCCCTCGAGAGCTGCTCGTGCATGCTGCGCTCCCAGACAGTTCACACTCAAAGCATGTGTAACCCCACATGCACACACCTCTTGAACTGTCCGCCAGCCATTTAGATAAACTGAGAGACAAACAACACCACATATGACAGACAGTTTCAACACAGAGCGCTTGCTGAAGAACGAAAGCTAGTATGTTTTGTGTCAGCGTCAACTTTATACTTCCGGGTATGCCGTTACGCTACGTCACGACGCAACACCAATCAGGATTGGAATAGTTTAATTCATACTTCAGAGGCGCACGCTTAGGGAGCGTCCCCAAAGGGTCGAATTCTCAACGCAGTGTAGAGTTCCCTCGAAAGGGAACTAGCAAACAGTACTCAGGCAAAGCAGAATTTGCAGGTGAACAGAATGCAAAACAGAATGAAAATGAATCCAAAACAGAACGAGACTGTAACAGTAATGGTTTTATTAGTTATTTTTAGTGGTAAACAGTGTGTACTGCACACTAAACATCATTAGATTTGAGTTGTTTTGAGGTCAGTGGTAACACATGCACCACTGTCAGGGACATAGAAGACTTTTGAGGCACATGTGCTGTCTGTCTGTTGGTAAAGTGAGATGATGCATTTATTCTGTGCTGTCCTTCGGAGAACAGAGAAGGAAGGACATGCTCACATCCTACCGACTGGCTTCCCTCAGTCAAACGCTGGCTGTCTGCTTGGGTTGTTAAACAGCCACACACACACACACACACACATCCTGCATCACTTCTCAGACTCAAGCCTGACAGATGGTAATTATGAACAGTGCTTTTGCAAAAAGGTCTGCAATAATTTCATGAAGCCCAGGGGTGTCATATCTCACTAGGGGCAATGGCACTGTATGAATATAAATATA